CCCCTCCTTGTTGGTGAGAACAAGGTCCAGCACTGCACCTCTCCTCGTTGGTTCCTCGACCACTTGGAGAAGGAAATTGTCCTCCACACATTCCAGGAACCGCCTGGATTGTTTGTGGCCTGCTGTGTTGTCCCTTCAACAGATATCGGGGTGGTTGAAGTCCCCCATGAGGACCAGGACTTGTGAACGTGAGGCTGCTCCTATCTGCCTATAGAGAGCCTCATCTGCTGGGTCTCCCTGGTCTGGTGGCCTGTAGCAGACCCCCACAGTAACATCCCCTTTCCCTGCCTTCCCTTTAATCCTGACCCGTAGACTCTCAGTTAGCTCCCCATCTGTCTCCAGGTGGAGCTCCATACACTCCAACTGGTTGTTGACATATAGGGCAATGTCCCCTTCTCATCTCCCCTGCCTGTCCTTCCTGAAGAGCCTGTATCCTTCCATTCCAACACTCCAGTCATGGGAGCCATCCTACCATGTCTCTGTGATGCCAATCAGGTCATATCTCTGCAGGCACGCACACATCTCCAACTCTTCTTGTTCATTGCCCGTGCTACGTGCATTGGCATAGAGGCATTTCAGTTCGGCCCCCAGTGAAGTTGACTTTGCCTTGTTGGCTGGAGCAGCTGGAATCCCAGTGTGGTGCTCTTCAGGCATGTAACTATACCAACAATCCCAGTTATATCCCCTTCCCCCTTCCAATCTAGTTTAAAGCTCTGTCCATGAGCCCCGCTAATTCTTGCCCCAGGATCCTTTTCCCCTTCTGAGACAGGTGTATCCCATCTTTTGTCTGTAGCTTTTTGTCTGTATTTTGGTTTCATTACTGACCCTTATTAATGAAATGCCCTTTCTGAGGAGGTCTGCAAAGTCACTCCTTTTCACTTATTCACATAACCCTAAAGAGACATTTCTTTTATGACACCTATAAGAAATTAGCCAAGTAGGCTGCTGTTCTGTTTCCCTTACTCATCTCAAGAGTGAACCACTCAGCTAAGTGGGCAGAAAGGATTGAATGATGGAAGAAAAGTAGGATGAAACCATTTTGAAAATGAAGGTGGCAAAAACTAAGCAGGATAAGCTGTGGAAGGAGAATAGGGAAATGAACTCTATTGAACAACAGCAGAAACAAACATGTAGCTAATAAAGAAGGACCTTTATGGCTCTAGTGATCACACTATTTCTGTGTCATTTCCCTGCAAGAGCAGATAGTGAAATGTCACAGACACTCTAAGCTGACTGGAGCTCCTTGCTGTATTGCATAATTTACATGCTGTTCAGGATAGGTGATAGTAATACTTGTACACAGATTTTAACAATTGCTTTATTGAAATTCAGTTAGCAGAGTTTCATTACAAAGATGAAAGTTTACGTGATCAGGAGAGGTTTTGCTTTAACTGCTCTTTCTTTTCTGTTTAATGTTGAAGGTTACAGCGATTAGCAAAAGACCTTTTAAAGCACCTCCAAATGCAGGATAGCTGTTCATTGGGGAACAACAAGGTCTCTACTCTGGACAGGACTTTAGGAGAGATCTCTCGTATTCTGGAAAAAGAGGTATTGTGACTGTTACTATATAACTTATGATTAACCTATCAATTGTGTTGCCCTCAAATGTCGTCAGTTTGGATTTGGGAATGTGTTAAGCGTGTTGATGAATACATGACCTTTGTGTAACAAGCAGTGTCTGCTATTATGCTTTTCTGTGGTGATTGCAGCAGTAGATGCTTTTATTTAGACATCAGATTTTATATAGGCAATTTTGCAGAAGTACTGAAAACACGCTTGACTGATGCTAGGTCTTCTGCATAATTACAGGCTGTATTTCTACTGTGTTTTCACTAGAATTATTTTTAACCTATGTCATTTCAGTCATCTAGTTTATAGTGCATACTCACAAACAGCTTTTACAATAAGGGGCCAAAACAATTAGCAGAGAACAGAGGAAGGAATTGGAGCCAGCTTTGCTGTTACAGCCACCGTACTATGGTGTTATGGGTGAGGTTTGGAGGAGCACAAATCTGTTGAGTTTTCCTAGAGTGCAACAAAGCTGATAGGTCTTGATGTGCATATATATGAGCTATTTTTATGTTTTGAATTTTTTTTGAAGTGCTATGTTTGTAAAGCATGTTTTGTCTTATAGTAAATGTTGGATTTTTGATTAATTGATAGCATAGCATTTACATCTTTTTTTACTGTTTCATCATGATGAGTCCACTGCCACAGTGCTTTCTGTCTTGCAGTGCATTTTTTTGCTCCATTAGGACCATGATATTTGAGTTTTCAGCTGGAACAACATGTTCTTTTCTCCCTCTAACCATTAGCAAATACTTCTTTTGTATCTGTAATCAAGAAATCATGAAAATTAATTATGAGAGAAACTAAATTAATGAAATCTGAGGAGGGGGTTGTATCATTGTGGTTTAGAGTTGGTGTGTGAGATGAGGTGCTCTGCTTGGTGCTTTTCATAGCTTAGTCAACATGGAACACATTGCTGATGGCATATGCTTTTAGATACAGAATGCTGCCTGGGATGCATAGGGTTCTGATGTGTGTTCTCTTAGTTACTTTGAGCTGCTAATCAAGTTTAATAGCATTTTTGAAAAAGTTGTAACATTTCAAAATTTTGCGGTGTTTGTGTTACTTATTGAAAAATTCATTTGTTATTTATTTCAAACTATAGAAATCATGTTGTTGTATGAAGACTATAAAAAGATGTATCTGTTTTGAAAGCTATCTAAATTATTGGAAACTGGTTTTGGAAGCGATCGTGTGTCCAGCCTCTCAACAGTAGATGTTTTTTGAGATTTTTTTTTTTTTTTAAACAAGATGTGAATTGTAGCTAAATGTTAATCATTAATTATTTGCAATGTTTTATTGCCTGTTGAGTCTGCAGCGAGGAGTTTGAAGATAAATTTGATAGTATTAATAGCCGTGCATTGTTTTGTTGTTGATTTGGGTTTTTAACCCCAAAATATTACTCTGCCACTGGAGAGGTATTACTGTATCCGAGTGTCCTGATCAATATGGTCAAGGAAGATTGATTTCAAAAGCTGTATCATACCTAGTCATTTATAGAAGTGGATATTAATTCTCTTGTTAACTTGTAAGTCAAGAAATCACCAGACACATCTCACATGTCTGTGGGTGGTGAAAAGAATCTTGATGGTGTCAGTCATGGGCTGAGAGGAGGAGACTGACACTGTTAATTGAATTTCCCTGGAGAGCATAAAAATAGACTATAATGTGGGGGGAGGAATGAGGGAGTGGGAACCACACAAGCTGTCAGTGTGTGTGAGCTGATAACATTGATTTACCCTTGCTAATGGCCTGGGTTGAATAAAGAATTGCCCTGAGGGAGGAAAGAGTTCACTACAATAGATCCTTGCTACTTTCTAGAAATTATTCAGGCTCAGAATAAGTAATGCAAAAGTATTCTAAAATAAAATTGATCCAAAACCCCCTCTTTTCAGTCATACTGTGCAACGTTGCATTTTTCTTTTGTTAATAGTTTACACTAACTGAAAAAAACTTATTTAAACAGTCTCACCAGGGAAATAAAGATTTGTTTTACAAACCATGAAATAAAATGCTGATCTGCTGTTGGTAACAGTAAATAAGAAAAACCAATACCAGTAGATTTCTCAAAGAAGGAAGGGTTGTTCAGCTCATTAGAAACTTCATGACTGTGCTAAAAAAGCATTAAAAGAGTGGGGGTGTATTGTTTATGCAAACTTGAAACACAAGCCACGTGCAAAAGATTGTCAGCCCTGTCTCACTGGGTTTTGCCTTCAGGTAGAATCAAATCAGGCTAACGATTCCTTTTTGGACTTGGTCTTTGTCTGTTGTGTTTTATAGTAATGAAAAAGGCTTTTTCTCACTTCTGGATGTCTTTTATAATGTGAGAACATTCTAGGATGAGGCATGTCTGCATGATTATTTTGATCAAACTTGCTTTTGTTTTGCATGCCTTCCTGGTCTGCTGGACATAAGCAGATTCTACACTTGAGGCCAAGTGATTTCACCAATATAGTAAGGAGATGTACATGTTTAATGTAAAATGGAAGTTTTTTATATTGGCATATCCTCTAGATACCCAAATTTGAGAAATCTTCTTCTCAGGCAAAGATACATCCTAACCACTGTATTTTTTTTTAAGTCCTGTCTATTTATTGTAGCACTTTAGCTCTTTCTCATTAACACAGAATTCATAGGCTGCTGCTGGTTCCCCATGCAACACAGCAAAATCTACAACTTTCACTTTGAATCCAATGCATGATTTGAGTGCTAATAAATGACAGAGGAGTTGCTTTGCTTCAAGTGGTTATTAGATCTCCAGACAATTCTTGGTATGTCCACGTTGACTTACTTGGATGAAGCTCTGCAACTGCTAGAAGTATTGCACCCTATGCCAGAAAAGTATTTGTAAGTTATCAAGTTGAAGTGCAGGTTTGAGAATCTGACAAGGGGTATGGCCATTAATTGCATCCAACCTGTGGTTCACATATATTTTAATTAAATAAACATTAAAGGTACTATAAAGTAATAAACCACAACGTTGTTCCAGTTTTAAGTAGATTTGTACCCTTCAGGTTATGTGTCCTTGCTTATGCTAGTCTCATAGCAGGAGGCACAAATCCTGATGGTGTTGTATACGCCTTGTATGCTGTCCCCAAGATGTATCTACAGCATGTCCTGGTGCACATGGTGCTGCTTTGGGTGTGCTCTATAGGTTATCAGAAGGCAGTCCTTTGGTTTTGTGCATAGTCTCTCCTCCTTTCTGGCAGAAATCCTGGAAGGAAGCTGTATTCACTTTCACCTCTGCTTTGTTTATAAGTATATTTTAAAAACACACACAGACACAACAGCAAAATACATGCCAACGTTACCAGAAAGCCCTGACCTGATGTTGGCAGATTGTCATATAGGACCCTTCAAGGTATTAATAAGATCTGATAATGCTGAGTTTGAGAACTCCCATGAATGGGCCTTTGATGCTAAAAGAAAAACTCTTGGACCCTCTTAAAGAAGGCAGAGTTGATGTTTGAAACTGCAGGGCTAATGCAGTTTTTCTGCCACAGTTCTTCTGATTTTATAGAAGTTCATTCTTTGATACACTAATTTTACACATCCATTACTGAGGGCAGCAGTCTGTTTCAGATGTGTCAGGAATCCTGGATTAACTGTTCAAATTTGAGTTGAGCACTCTATACAGAAGTGTCCTGTAATAGGGAACACTTTCAGAAACCAGTATATTTAAAGCTCTTGTATCCTATTAGTGTGACTACAGGTACAGTTTCAAGTTGCTTATTCTTATATAATATATTTCCCTCAATGTATAGAGGTGAGACTTACTGATTAAAAAAATGAAACCGTTTTCTACTGCATGGACAATAGACATTACACTGCCTGAAGTACATATATTTCTAAGGCTATGAACCTGAGCAGGGTCAGAGGTTACTGCTCCTTAGATGATCATCCTTAGACCTACTGACAGAACATCCCTTCCCTAAAGTTTTTCCTGAAATTTGTTTTTTAGAGGGTTTTTTGTGTCCAGGTTTTAAAAGTCCTGATTTCAGATGTTTGAAAGTATTCTAGGTGATTTTGATAGGTCTGAGCTAGGCAGAGATGAGAGACACCATTATTCTGAGGAACGTGGTGGGATGCTGCCTTCAGTAAGTACAGTGACAAGCAGCTGAGGACAGTAACCTATTCACCTCGCTCAGCTGCAGCTAAAACACTGCAGTTAAATCACTTCAGTTAAATTTGTATGATACTTATATGTGACATTTAGACAAGCCCTTAATGTGTCTCCCATCCTTCTGACTGGAAGTATGACAGAGATTCAGTATGATTGTGAGAGAACCTCATTACTTTTGGTATCCAAGTGCAACAGTTTATCTGCTAAACTGGAATTACTTTTATATGTTGTTTCTTATCAGACCACAACATAGGTTATAAGATTCCTAGCTGATTTGACAGAAGATCTTAGATGTGCACCTGAGGAGAGGGCTGCAGCCACGGGGCGAGGTTAGAGGTTTTATAAATGTCCCTGCCTAAGCAAACCTTACAGCTGAAGCTCATGCATCCTTTGTTAGCACAAAGCCCTAACAAACAAAATTACACCGGTTCTGCTGTTCCTGAAACTTACTATGATTTTGTAGTTTTGAGGGTAGCTGTGTCCTTCATCTCCTTCAGGTTCTCTAGGTACTGCAAAAATCTCAGTAAATAATAGTGAGCACAAATTAAGTGGGAGTAAAATGAAACCAGAAGAATAGAGGAAGAGGATTTAATGAATTGGGCCACGGTGCTTGTAATTACTTACCAGCTCTCTCCATACAAATCTAAAAGTAGCTGCTTTTCAGTAGGCTAAGTTTCAAGATACATATTTTTATTACTAATTCACAATAATATTCTTACTGGAAACAGATTTCAGGGGAAAAACAATATACTTCCTTAGAAAAGATGTAATTTTATTACAGGAAAAATGTGTGAATCTGAGCTATTAATTGACTGCAATGTTTTAATACTTTTTTTAAAAAAGGATCTCAGTGCTA